AACTCTTTCTCTTTGGTTCAGCCTCACAACTCCTTTTTATAGAAGAGAGGCCTCTAATTTTCTTCCCCCACCGATGTGGGATGAGTTATCTTGGAAAGTATGAAAGTTTGATTAAATTAAGAGGCTAAAGGAAATTGCATCTATAAACGAAAAAGAAATATGGATGTAAACAGTGAGATTAGAGCTATATATCTAAAGCTGAATATATAAAAATAAAACGTAATAATGATAAATTAAATAAACCAATGATAGAGAAATTAAAGAAAAAAGTGGTTAACTAAGAATCTAAACAAATTCTTCAATTTTATTTGTTACTGACCTCCAATTTAGATTATATATTTATAAAACTTTAATCTTTTGAAATGTAATTCTTGATTTTTCAGTGAATATTATATATATATATATATATATATATATATATATATATATATATATATATATATATATATATATATATATATGCGGTGCGGTTTGGTTTTTTTGCGGTTTTTGCAAAACTAAAAACCGCACCGCACCAAAATTTTCGGTTTTTATAAAACTAAAAACCACACCTTCGGTTTTTGTTTCGGTTGCGGTTTTACGGTTGCGGTTAATGCGGTTTTTTCGGTTATTTCGGTTTGCGGTTCGGTTTTTGCTCACCCCTATTTTTAATCATATATTAAAATTACAAAGAAAAAAAAAACTTTCCATTCCGATTGATCTAATTGCTTGTTAGCTATAATTGTATTATAATAGTGAGACTGAATATGATACGTTATAAAAAGTTATTTGATTCAGTAATCAAAGTTATTTTTATATTAAATCATGTGGAAAACTTTTACAAATTAGATACGTTATAATCTTAGCACAAACCCATTAACATTGTTCCAAAAATATACATCCATGACAAAATCATAAAGCCCAAAAGCTTCCTACACTTAAATTGCATATATTTAGTAGAGATGTATATCGGCAGTTCGAGACCGATCACGGGTCGGGCTCAAAGTAGTCTGTTGTTTTTAACACTGGTATCGGAATGATTCGATCTTTTTGCGTTCCAGTCTCACGGTCTTTGTGTGCAACTATTTTGATTCGGTTTTGGGGTCTTTTCGGTTTGATTTCGGTATTTTGGGTTCGAGTTTTTGCGTTCACAAATATGTGACTAACACCAAAATGATACATTAAGATTTAATAAAAATGATAAAATAAAAGAAGTTAGGTGATGTGCAATTAAAAAAATATGTAATTAACACAAAAGTCATATGAGTCATATGTATATAAACTTTTGGTTCCGGTCATTTTGACACCAGTTGGGTCGGTCTTGTAAAGTCCCATCCTCATTCCTCTCCCAAATATAGAGCCCAAAAGCGTTGTACGATTCAATTCGACTATTTTTTAATTTATAAAAGAATCATTCTATTAAAATAATTAAGCTTGTGATATACTGAATTACTGATATACGATTATTAAAATCATATCAATTGTATAAAACTTGCATCCAGCCCACTAAAGACCCATCCTCATTCCCCTCCCAAATAGAGAGCCCAAATAGCAAAAAAAATTCAACTAGGAGTCATGTCCACATCACACTTATCCATTTTCTCAATTTTACAATCCAATTTATTAGGCTTTGGGAATGAGTGTTGGGTTGATTATGGTTTTAACCCATAAGGAAGGGCTAATGCGTAAGCCCAAGACTTTAAGCCTGTTCAACTTATTTTCATTTAGAGTGTTTGTGTAAGATTTTCAACAATCACATAGAGAAAAAGAGAGAAAACAAGTGTTTCTTTAATTTTGTATTTCTGGATATCCATGTAGTGATTCGTAATTTTTCAAAGATTCAACAGTTCGTTTTCTTTGATTTTCAAACAGAGGCTTCATAACATCTATACCAACATATCTTCTGGTGGGCTTGTCCATATATGTGTGGGAGCCTCGGGAATCATTGCGTCAGTTTGAGTTTGTTGTTGGACAACAACCCCAATTTTGGTGATATTTCTCTTTGTCATGTTTATTGTATGCCACTAGTACATCAAGAGAAGACTTTGCGTTGCTTAAATATACGTGATAGTGGATCTAAAACAGCTCTAGTAGCCTCGTGGCATTATTCTCTCTCTTTCTTGAGAGGTTCCATGCTAAAATTTCGATGTTTCATATTGATTGATTACTTACTATTTTTGGGTTGATTATATTGGCCATATAAATCAAATTGGGTTGTTTTGTTGCAATTGAAAATATTCTATTTGTTTGCATCATTAGAGGTTCATTTCAGAGTTTTATTCTGTATTATTATTTACCGTTGTGGTTACATTTTTCACATCAATTGGGTGTCGAGCATGCCAAACATGTCGAGCTCCACATCCATCATCTTCTTTCTCTCTCTTTGGCATTCCATTACCAAGTAGACAGAATGGTGTGTGACAGCCACAACCAACTCCTTCCAGTTCAACCTCTTTCTTGCTTACATAGCTTCCACCTTAGCATTTTCCTTGCCACCACACCCTTACCAAAGCCCTCTTCGACATCCACTCATTCTTGGAAATGTGATATTTTCACTTGTGTTTTTGATCCATCCACTTAAAAAAAAGTATTTTAACTTTTATACCATTGTCATCATGATTCTTTTTTTCAATTAAAATGAAAAATATAAAAATCAAAACACTTTATTTTTATCTAAATAGATCAAAAACATAGATGAAAATATCACCTCCCATTTGAGTATCATGTATGCTATATAAACTTACTAGCAACAACGAGTAATACACATCCATCTGAATATTCCCCAATTATATATAACTTAGTATAACAAAATGAGATGTTACAACCATCATTATCATAATAATGCAATAAAAAGATTTTACTAGAATAAGTATAATATTGTGTGAATCTTTCTCATGATAATATGGATGGTCTAGATTCGAAATTCATCTTTACTACTATAGTTTTCCACATCTCCCTCCAAAACAATATTACTATAGTTATTACTAGACTTTATATTCAATATATAAAGAGTATACTTATTTGGTCATTATGGTTCAATACAACATTTTACCTAACATAGAGTTTAATTACCATTTTTATTGGTAAGTGAATATGCAAATTATCTCATCACATACAAGATGAATAAAACTTACGGATGGACCAAAATGAAAGTTATCAATATATTGTAGTGAATTTATAGACTAAGAGCCTGTTTGGCAGCATCTGAATTTAAGAGATTTGAATTTCTAAGAGGGTCTGAATTTTTAAGATCTGAATTTCTAATATGTTGTTTGGTTGGAACCTCTGAATTGTTATGATGAATAATAAAAATGACCATTTTACCCTTCTATATTATTTTTTGTTGAATTCAATGTTTCTATTTAGAAAACAATTTAACAAAACTTATTGAATAATTGTGAAAAATAACTTGACGATTATGTACTTCAAAACAATGGTGCATTGCCTTTGAAATAAATACATGTTCATACACCCCTAATTTGTGACGACATGAACATTCCATTGCTAATACACATCCATATTACAAAGATTCACAAGGGCCGAAGGAAGTCAATTCTTCAAAGCCTAAATTCAAAATTGATAACAAAGTCAAATTTAAGTATTTACATTTACAATTTATGTAAATAGAATCATGAAAAGCACAAATTCACATCATCTTTTTTACTTTAGCTCCCTAGATCAAAATATACCCCTAAACCTTGACACTCATACAATATCCTTTTCACCTTGTATCAGTATGGACGGCACCCAAGCTGTAGTGCTGCACCAAAATAAGACTTTTAAGAAACTACTAATCAAAACATAACCATAACTATCTAAATTAGCAATAAACTTTAAGCACATCTCCAGAATAGCGATAATAACTGATCAAATTGGTTCAAATCTTGATAAAACATCAGCCAGCAAACTCAATAATGGGTTGAATAGTCTGAGCAAGTAAACTCAATAATTATCAAGAATGCTTCTTGTTCTTTAATAAATGATTTGCAGACATTTTATACGACTTTACTAGTGCAAAATACATCACTTACAACAATTTTGGTCAATCCAATTTGACGAAAGGCGTATCACCATCTCAACTGATCATATAATCTACATCACTTTGCCAAAAAACACCTCAATCGGATCAAAACTATATTGATTCCGAGTATACACCTGCTATCAAAACTATATTGATTCCGAGTATACACCAAAAAAGCGAGATGAATTGCAAACCCTAAAATTCTACACAACACCTGGTGTGATATCCGAAAATGGTGGGGCTGGCCGATCATCCTATTAGGTGGAGGGACTGCGCTCCAACGATGGTCCAATTAGGGTTGTGAGTCGTTGGAGAAGACGGTGACAAGCAGACGATGGAGGGTAGCAGTCGTCGAAGAGGGGTTGGAGGGAATAGGAGTCGTGAGAAATAGAAAGAGACAAGGGGGAGCAGGGGTAAAAACGAAATACGCATCGATGAGGGAGCCGGATGGCTTCGCTGTCGGCGAAAATGTCGGAGACGGCGTCTCTGGCAAAGGCGGTGTCTGGAGGGATGACCGAAGAGGATGATGGAGGTTGTAATTGGAGTTTAAGTGGGAAGCGGCGTTTGTGAAGAAGAAAGAGTAGAGGGAAGGAGATAAAGTATTTAGGCAAAAAGGGAACGCGCGTTCTTTTTATTTTTTCAGACATGCCTTTGGATCTGAAAGTCTAAGAGGCAGCTTATAAATTAATTGGCATAAAATAATATGCAACCAAACAGCCTATATCTGAAAAATTAAGAGCTTGGCTCTTAATTTTTCAATTGAGAGGCTACCAAACAGGGCCTAAAAGATGTAATTTTGCTTTATAAAAAATTACTCATTCCATTGCAATATTGACTTGATACTCGGTTTTATGAAGAAAAAAAACATGTAAGAAACAACGTTACCAATATCATACATTGATTACTTAAAAGTTGGCTCTTGGAACAACATAAACAAAAAGTTGGTGCTTGTTGACTTGTACATACCATAAATATTTATACTCTAACACAACCAAAAAGATTATTCAAGCATGGACTGGGAAGCCAATGTCTTCCTCAACTCCTCCATGTTTGGTAAATCGTCATCATCATCAAGAAACCCGAAGAAAGTCTGAATACAGTCATCATAGTCATATAAAAACTCCCTATATATGTATCCACTAAGAGAATCTTTTGGCAGTTTTACACATTCAATATTCTTGTCCAAACATTTTATTTTCCCAATTGGATCTGGATCTCCCTCCTCAAGATCAAGGTAAAAACATGTACGCAAGTCAAGTGATTCAAGGTGGCAACATCTATCAAGAATCACCTCTAACCCAATATTCGACATGTTGTCTCCAATGAGTTCAAGGTGACCTAACTCACGTAAGTTCTCTCCAATTGCTATTGCTCTCTCATTAGCAACCCTTGGGAACTCACGGTTTCTCAATGGGTTGTCATTAAGTTTCAGTGTTTTTAACATGGGACAACAACGCCCTAAAGTTTCAATAGCTTCTTTTGGGATATCCGTTAGGTAGATACTGAGCTCCTCTAATAATGGAAATTTCTTCAAAGCTTCAATCCAACTTTCATACGGATCCTCATAACAACATGAGATTTCAAGACGTCTTAGTTTGCTTGATCTGTTAAAGTAATTAAAAACCCTAAATCTTTCATATTCGGTAAAACATGTCCAATCATAAGAAGCTTAAATACGTAGCGTACCTACTAGCAACATACTCAAGAAGCTCATTATCAGCAAATCCAACAAATGGTCATATCAATCAAATGGCCTTGACTTCTATCCACAGCATGCTTACAAATCTCCCGGAGTGGTTTGAAGAATCGATATTGACGCAAAAGATATGGATAATCAAGGCGTATAGCTCTCCACATCACAGTGTCCTTGCATATTGTATGCCAACTTGTGCAAACTTTTTGGGCATTCTCAAGTATGTCAAAAGCACCAACTCTTTGTAGAATATTAGCCATTACATCATATGGGACCTCCAACCAATTCCTCTCTTGTTCTTTTCTCTTTGATTTTGATGTCATCGTAGGTATAACTTTAGCATGTACAAACCAACAAAATCTTACCTATTAATTAGTTTACAATAACTTACTCAAACATGTTGCAAGTGAATAACATTCTGTCATGTAACAAATATATCAAATGAATCAACCAACCTAAATGTTTTTTTCTAAACCTCAACATTAAAACGTTATCTCTAATTATCAATGACAAATCTATAAACCCTAGAACTACCTGCAGTTCTATATAGTTTTTTTTTTTTTTTTTTTTTTTTTTTTTTTGCAAACAGCACTTAAGAAGATATTTCCGCTGACAGGCCACATAACAAAAATAATATGAAAGTTTTACAGTGATTTAGTTAATTTTCTTAAGAATGTGGGATAGACATTGTAAATTCTCACACCAATAGCAATATATACAAGGGAAATAGGAAAGGAAATCAATGAGAGTAGCGTTTAACATACCAGTGCGAAAGGGGCACAAGTTCCAAAACGCCAACTATCGGAGAGATTTGCAGGCGCCGGAGGTCGGAGGAGGGTCGCCGGGTGTGGGAGATCGGAGAAGGGTCGCAGGTCGTTGTGAAGGACTGTGAACTTGTGAGTTTCGAGGGGTCTGTGAAGTGTGAAGTGTGAACGAGAACGAGGGGGGTTTGGGGGTATATTTACAATCTATTGGATACTAGGTGTGAGACCCGTTTATTACACGGATGAATTTAAAAAAATAATAAACATTAAAGTATAAACAAAAAATATTTTTTAATGTATAACTTTAAAATAAGAAAAAAAGAAATTTATTTATTGCAATTTAATATCATATATATATATATATATATATATATATATATATATATAATATTTAATACTTTACATATATAAGTATATGTCTTTAATTTTAAAAATTGAAACAAACCAAAAATTGACAAGTGGATAATATTTATTTCAAAAATATCATAAAATGACAAGTGTCAAAACTCATTAGAGATTGACATGTGGCAAAAAAAACCTTCATTTATTAAGGAGGACTATATTCTGAAAAAAAAAATCGATTATAATAATAAATAATGTTTGATATCATCCCTAATAAATAATAATTTTATTTTCAAATGTAATTTTCTTTTTATGTTGATACATGTGATTTTTTAAGCATTTTAGAGTTTTTTCTTTCCTATTTGTCATTTTTCTTATTTTTTTTCATTTTCATTTCATTGCCACATGTATTATAAGGATTTATATAAGATAGAGTGAGTCTATTAAATTTGAGAATAAATTACCCAAAGTAGTTTATTTCCTTAATTTCCTTAATTATTCCAATTTCACAATTAATTTTATAACATTTCCAAAATAATATAATGTGGAATATACAGTTTTCAATTGATATTATGATTCACACGATTTATGATAATGTAATCCCTTCCAAAATTAAATTCGAAATAATATATATATATATATATATATATATATATATATATATATATATATATATATATATATAGAGAGAGAGTTGAGATCGGTTGAAAATTCATAGTTTTCCGAGAACCTAAGAACTAAAGATGGAGCGTTGGATCAAAATCAAATCAATAAGGGCATGATCGTCATCATACCAATCCCACTTAATTTTTTGTATTATTGAAAATATTAATAAAAAGCTCTAAAATTAACATTATAAAACAAAATTTTGGATTTTTTTATAAAAAAAAAATAATTTTCATTTTTTTTAAACTGCAGATTTTTTTTAACTTTTTTGGAAAGCATAAACTTTTAAAAAATTTGATTTTTTTTAAAACTGCAATTTTTTCAAAAAAAACTGCAATTTTTTTGGAAAAAAAAACTGTATTTAAAAAAACTGCAAATTTTTTAATAAAACAGTAATTTAAAAAAAAAACTGTAATTTTTTCAAAAAAACTACATTTTTTCTACGAAGATTCACAATGTTATCATTTCTTCATATCAAGATTTTCATATTTTCTTCAATTTATCACTTTTCACATCTTCAATATTTTCCACAAATTCTTCAAAATCTACAAGAAAATTAAAAAGATTTGATTAATGCAAGAACACTCACAAAAATGCACATGCATATATCATATGAGAATTACATGTGATTCATATGTGAATTACATGTGATTTACATGTGAATCATATGTAATTCATATGTGAGTTACATGTTATTTACATGTGATACGCATTTAATTCTTATGTGATTCACTTGTGATCTACATGTGAATCATATGTAATTCATATGTGAATCACTTGTGATTTATATGTAACTCATATGGGATTCACTTGTGATTTACATGTGAATTACATGTGATTTTACATGTGAATTACATGTGATTCATATGTGAATCACCTGTGATTCACATGTGAATCACCTATGATTCACATGTGAATTACATGTTATTTACTTTCATACCACCCCATATCATTCACACTCACTAGAAGCACCCCACCATCCTTATCCCCCTGTATTTGTACTTACAGATATTCAGTTAGATTCTACCGAGTTAAAACAATGTCATAATAAGAAAAAAGTTGAATGTATAATGGTATAATTGGGTAGATTTTTAAAGTAAAATGCATTATTTTGAAGTAGGGTGTTTAAATATTAAACATCAACAGAGGGCTGAAATTGGTGCTTTTTGCCCATATAATGCAGTTCTTACATTGTGTCCACTTCACCTGCAATTATAAAATGTCTGACTTAGCACATACTTTTATAAGAAATATTGCAATTAAAATGCAAAGATAAATAAAGACTTGCAACATAAAGTATATCAGTATATCAGTTGCAATTAATATGAGCAGGAGGATCATCATTTAGTGCCGAAATAAAACGTCGCCGAAATAAAACGTCCTTGTTCTAATAAGATTGTATCTATAACTCTTTCATTACGACAACCCTTACTTTTTTATAAATAGGTCAGATAATCACTCAAGCATATTATCAAACACATTGCAGGCAATATCATCTTACCAAATATAATTGCATTTCAAGAACATAACTGCAACAATAGGTCAAAATATAAACGAAATACATACCATAATCAACCTAATCATGAAAAACTATCTACACTTGTAGAGAGATCCTCACAAGTGTGACTCGTTTTTTGGAATTATTAGGCTATCTAACATATTAATTAGGTTTATCAACAAAACTTCAAAAGCATTTTTAGGTTTATCAAAAACTGACGTAATGAGGTAACCGAGAACTCTTCATCGTCCCATAACCAGTGATAAATTTAGAACAATTTTTTTTCCCTCAAAGGAATTATCGAACGCATAAACTTGTTAATATAAATAGGATGAAGAAATCATACCGATTACAATGAAGGACTTAGGTGGAGACGGGAAATCGATAAAGGAATGATGATTAACTCCATATCTGGACGAAATTTTGGAGGCGCGAAGGCTATGCATTCAAAATTGGTCAGAGACAAGAGATCAATGAAGGAATGATGGTTAATTTCATATATGGACATCGTTGGTGTTGATTTTGGAAGAAAGCGACAAATTAGATGAACGACCGATCGACGAAGGAGGTAGAGATTATGCGACACCGAAGACGATCAACCACCGGAGAAGAGCTTGATGAAGGGAAACACCGGAAAAGAAGCTCGCTGCGAGGAGGATTATAGATCGTAGGTTTGAGAGAGAGTATAACACCCCTAATCCAGCAGCCCAAGAAAAGGAAAGGAGAACCCGAAATCAGTGAGTCAACTCGTCGAGTCCAAGGAAGAACTCGGCGAGTCGGAGCGAGTTCTGTGTCACAGATTAAGTGGCCGACTCGGCGAGTCGGGAGACTGACTCGGCGAGTTAGGTCTGGGTTGGGAAACCCTAATTTCGGGACTTGGTGCCCTAATTAAGCATCCTATTCTCCTCTTTAGGGTTTCATTTACAGCCTCTCTAGTCCAGAACCGAAACCCTAGCCATCCAACTTCATTTCTTGAGCTTTTGTGAAGATTAAGGTCCATTTGGAGTGCATCTTGAAGGTTTGGGAGAAAGGAGCAAGGAAGGAAGTGTAGATCCAGCCTCTACATCGGTTTGACAGTTGGTAGAAGGTAACAAGTCAGTACCTTGAGCATTCATTAGATAGATCCCCTTCTTAGCTTAGATTTTGTCACATTTGGGCCATTTCCAAGGCCAATCCGAACATTGAGCCTTTGAGGACGAAAAGGACTTCAGATCTGGGCATTTCTGAGCTTTAGGAGCTCTGAGTGGGTAGCTTTACCCAACTATGGCTTCATTCCATGATTTAGACATTTATTTTAGCTTGGATTAAGTGTTTTAACTTCATAGCACCTTGCATGCACGTAAAGTTAGCAACTTTACGTGTAATTCTAGCCTTAGGAGTCCATATCTACGTAATGGAAGCAATGGAGTGGACTGTAATCGACAGAATGGAGATGACATAAGTGGACTCGGCTAGTCGGTTCATGGACTCGGCGAGTCGGGTCGCAAACCCCAATCTCTTCTGGTTATGAGTCAGATTAGGGAGTGAGTGGTGACTCAATGGGTTGGACAGGACTAGGACTCGGAGATTGAATGACTCGACGAGTCATGGGGTGACTGGTGAGTCGAGTCGTGAGTTGTAGGGTTTCTGGAGGTTATGAACTCGGCGAGTCATTAGGCTGACTCGACGAGTAGGGTCAACGTGGAAGGTTGACTTTGACCAGGACTTTGACCTTGAGAAGGACTTTGACTAGAGTTGACTTAGTTTGACTTATGGAGGACAGTTTAGAACTAAGTGTTATTTTGGTATTGGTAGCTCGGGGAGCTAGAGGAGCAGCGGTTCGGAGAGTTGTCGGATAGCAATCAGGAGGGTATCAGCAAGAGCTTCAGCAGTGCAAGGTGAGTCTCCTCACTATGTGCATGGGTCTACAGCCACAATGCCGGCCCATTATGTTTATGTTATGTTTATGTATAGAAGGAAGACACGGGGGGTTAGCCCTAGGCAATTATTGTTACATGTTCTGGATTACGACCTGTGTCGGGCGAGGCCCGAGGAATGTAGTATGCTAAAGGTAGTTGTGATTCTCGTATGTGTCAGAGTTGATAGGTTCCGAACCAAGGTCCGATGTCGGGGCAAGCCCGAGGAAGGTTTATATGTTGAATGTTAGATTATACTTGTTGTCTTTGTGACACTTGTATGTGCCTGGTAGGGAGGTGAGTGTGGGCGAGGTCCCGTATCTCATCATAGCCTAGTATGGACGGGGTTCTGTATCTCATTAGTAGTAGAGCAGGGGCGAGGCCCGAGTTAGGAAGGAGGTGAGTGTAGGCGGGGGCCTGTATCTCACTATCAGCAGGAGCGTGGACGGGGTTCCATGACTTATCAGTAGCAGGACAAGGGCGAGGCCTAAGTTAGGCGAGGCCTTAGATCAGGAGTATGGTAGAGTATGTTTAGCTATTTGTTATGTGTGATGTTTGTATGTGTTTAGTGGGCGAGGCCCAGAGACAGGCAAGGCCTAAGAGAAACATATATGTACACCGAGCGGGGCTCGAAGCCAGGCGGGGCCTGGAGCAGGCAGGGCCTGTTGTCGGATGTATCCGAAGCCGGGCTGGGCCCGAGGTAGAGGGCGATGCCCAGTACTTGCAGTATGTGGTTATGTGTATGGTATGTGGTAGGTTGGGGAACTCACTAAGCTTCGTGCTTACGGTTTTCAGTTTTGGTTTCAGGTACTTCTGGTAGCGGAGGGAAGAGATCGGGATGACGCATTGCACACACCAAGAAGTTTAGCCTGAGATGTTTACTCTGATAAAATGAACTAGTGTTTTGAAATGATACTCTGATTTAAGATAATGACTTATGATTTTGGATGAATGATTTTATGATTATGGTTTAATTAACAGATTAAAAATGAAATTTTTGGACCGTATTTTTGGGATGTTACAGAGAGGGAGAAAGACAGAGAAAGAAAAGGGTTTAAAATTTAGCGTATCATATCATTGATTAGGATATTATCTAATTATATTTTTGTTTCCTATTGTACCCCTAATGTGTTTAATTAAGATGCCCCTTTCTCTTTAATTAATAACTTATTTACAACAATGCCACCTTGCATCTTGACCCTTTTTTTTTATCTAATGGCTTAAAATTAGTTCTCGGGTTCTCGGAAAACTATAAGCTCTCAAATATAAATATATATATATATATATTATATATATATATATATATATATATATATATATATATATATATATATATATGTGATTTCCTATTTATTTCATTATTCATCTCATTATTGTTTCTGTTATTCATCGTTAGTGTTTTTAGTTGACTATATGTATTTAGCGTGATATATTCTAGCCGAGTTTATTTGTATTGCACATTGTTTTTATTTATTTATTTATTTAGGGTTAAACCTTTTCTGATTGAGTTTTATTGGATTACATAGTCGTTTTTGTCTTTTCTTTATTGAAATGTCATGTGGACGCCAGTTCACCTAGGAAACCCGATGATCCCTTCATTTTTTTTTGAATATTTGCTTATTTAACCCAAAAATTGAAAGTTTCAGAAGCAACAATAAAAAAAATAATAAAATAATAAAATAACAAAAAACTTCAATGACCATCAACCTTTGATCTTATTTGATACTACTATGATATTAACCTTAAATATAATGGTATTGGATATTAACATATTAAAATATTATTTAAATTGTGTTCCATTTTATACACTAAAATAGATCGCATGGTTACCCAATGTTTTATGTTTGATCATCACTTTTTAACCTTTTGATTGCTCTCAAATTAGTTGATATAATAATTTGGAACCGAAGAACTTATGTTTAGATATCTAGATATGTGGTACCCATCCTTATCTAAATTTTGTTTAATATTTCACCATGTAAACAGAACTTTTAAATATCTTATTAATATTTTAAATATTTTTCTTAGATCAAACTAAATATAACTATAAAACACATATAAAAATAGATCACATATTTATTTGTTTGAAGATAAGAGCAACACCGTTTTCTTTCTTAAATTATAAAGTAGAAATTCCGTGTGGTGGCCCAGCATACCACCGATTATTTGGTGGGGTTAACACTTAACACAACGGATAGCTTCTGTCATGAACGCTTTCTTTTTAATTTTCTCAAAAAAAAAAAAAAAATAATTATTTATTTCTCTTTATAAAATAACCTACCGAACTTCCGCAATCCTTTGATTGAATTTCACTCCACAGAAAAAGAAAATAAAAGACAGTGATGGCGGTCGTTGAGTTCTTTGTTCTCGGGTGCACGGGAATCGTGATGTTCCTTCATGGCGCCAATTTCATGTTTCATGCTCTTGCTCATCAAATCTCCATTCGATCGCTCAGGTAAAACTTAAGAAATTCTGTTTGAATCGTATTAAATCGATTTAGTGATCATTGTTGATGATTGATCGAGAGATTTTTTTAACAGTTTGTTGATATTTAATTGATTACTTCACAACAATTGTATTAAATCGGTTTAGTGATCATTCGATAAAATTTGGGTGCGTATGAGGCTTAAGATTAAACTCGATGAAGATCAGATCTTAAATAGTTTCTGATTTGATTTAATGATAATGACGTTTCTTTTAACAATTGACTGCTATTTAATTGATTATTTCTCAAAATTGAGTTGATTTTGTTTCTCAAACTGTTCAACGAAATCAAGTCCCTATGAAGCTTAAGATCAACTCGATGAACATCGGATCTTTTGATAGAGTCTGGTATTTGTTGTTTTTAACATTTTGATATTAGTTTTCTTATTAGCATTTGAAATCTAATTTTCTACTTAATGGATTTGTGTATATTTCTGTACTGATTTGGCATTAATCATATCATTGATGAATGATGAAAATACCTTTCTAACAGTTTATTCATTCATTCTCAAAATCACGTGCGTTGATTTTTTTAGCATTTTGGCATTAATCATAACACAGAGGACATTAAAGTTTTAATTCTGAACTTCTCTTTGTTGTTTGTCCATTTTGCAGTTTCTTGGGATGTGTTTGGTAACGTGCAAATGTAGAGATGAGTTTAACAGAGGTTGGAGTTCAATTTCAAGGGAATGGAATTGTGAATATTTTTGTATAATTTGTAGACAATAAATAAATAAATGAAGAGTTTGGAATGAATTATTGATGGTTGTTACAAAAAGTATTCTCCTAATTTAACAATGATGGAGTGACAGAGCTATTTGACTATAAATTATCCATTGTTTTCTCATTTTAAATTATCTCAAAAAATATAATATAGTATATTTGAGGTAAAATGCATAAAAGTATAACCTAACCTTTTCTTTTTTGTAGAGAACTTTAGAAACAGAACTTTTAATCCAATTCCTTTTTTGGAGCGATATAATTTATATTAAAAAAAACTAAAAGAAGCTAGCACTACAAGTCACAATTTATACTTTGATTCTTATGTCTATTACTAACCCATAAAAAATAAATTTGGTTGTAAACACCACCTTAATCTTAAAATATAGTATATTTCGATCGGACACCACGTAGTTTTGATTGTAAACACCACCTTAACCTTAAAAGATAAAGTTGGTTTTACACCAAATTATAATAGGTGTGTTACATTTGTACCAACTTTTTTATTTAAATCAAAAGATAGAAAAAGGAAGGCATTCACAATAACTAAAGGATCCCATTTGAATTTACTTTCAAAGTTAGAGGGGTTAAAGTGTATATGTATGTATATGGGACTTGTGTTTTTCCCCTCGACACAACACCTTGTGATTTTAACGTTTATTATATGGGATCCGAATTCCGACCCATGTATATTCAGCGATTATTTTCCCTCCACAATCTTCTTCAACCACAAATTCAATTCTACAAATCCATCTTCTCCGCTAGACGCATCCAAGCTCTGGCCATAATCACCGATAATCCACAAACTACAACTACCTTAAATGTCACCCACGATGCTGAATGGACACCCACCTCGATTTCCTACTCTAAACTCTTATCTCAATGCTGTCAAACCAAGTCGCTCAATCCAGGTCTACAAATCCATACCCACCTGATCAAAATCGGATTGGAGAATGATCCAAAACACAGGAATCATTTAATCAATTTGTATTCGAAGTGTCGGGTTTTCAGGAGTGCACGCAAGTTGCTCGACGAAAGTCCTGAACCAGATTTAGTTGCTTGGTCTGCTTTGATATCAGGGTATACCCAGAATGGTCTCAGTCAAGATGCTCTTTTGGCTTTTACAGAGATGCACTCGTTGGGTATTAGGTGTAACGAGTTTACATTCCCTAGTGTCCTCAAAGCATGCTCCATGAAGAAGGATATCATTGGAGGGAAACAGATACATGGAATTGTGGTGGTGACTGGTTTTGAAAATGATGTTTTTGTTGCCAATGCATTGGTTGGTTTATACGCAAAATGTGGTGATTTTTTGGACTCAAGGAAGCTTTTTGATCAGATTCCAGACAGGAACATAGTTTCTTGGAATGCATTGTTTTCTTGTTACTCAAATGGTCATTTCTTTAAAGAAGCAATTGATTTATTTCAAGATATGATTATTACTGGATTAATCCCAGATGAGTATAGTTTATCAACTATAATCAATGCGTGCACAGGTTTACAAGATATAACCCAAGGGAGGAAGATTCATGGATATTTAATCAAACATGGGTACACTTCTGATCCCTTTTCTTGTAATGCACTTGCTGATATGTACTCAAAAGTTGGAGACTTTGAAGATGCTAAAACAGTCTTTGACCACATTCCTAACCCTGATATAGTCTCATGGAATGCAATCATTGCTGGATGTGTTCTTCATGAATACTTCAATCTAGGTTTGGAGTTATTTTTGAAGATGAAAAGGTCAGGAATCACACCAAATATGTTCACTTTTTCTAGTGTTCTTAAAGCTTGCTCTGGATTAGGTCTCCAAGATTTAGGCAAACAATTCCATTCCATTCTTATAAAGTCAGAAATAGAATTGGATCCACATCTTTGTTCTGGGCTTATCGATATATATTCAAAATGTGGTGAAATGGATGATGCCCAAAGGGTATATGATATGATGCCACAAAAAGAGTTGATTGCATTAAACACTTTGTTATGTGGACACTCACAAAATGGAAATGACATTGAAGCTCTATCTCTTTTTTCTAAAGATAGGGATAGAATCGGATTTAATGAAGCCACTTTACTTCCAATCCTCAATTCTTCTGCTAGTTTGCAAGATGTATATGTTAGTGAACAAATCCATGGGCTTTCTTTAAAAACCGGATTCCAATCCGACCCTTTTGTCATAAACAGTCTTATCGATTCTTATTCAAAATGTGGTTATGTGGAAAGGGCAAAGATGGTATTTGACGAATCGGATATCGCTGACTTGGCGACTTTTACGTCTATGATATCTGCTTATGCTCAATCGGGACAAGGTGAAGAAGCTATAAAACTTTACTTAAAAATGCAAGATTTGGAACTTAAGCCCGATTCTTACATTTGTAGCTCTCTTTTAAATGCTTCGGCTATTTTATCTGCTTATGAACAAGGTAAACAAATCCATGTTCATACCTTAAAATCTGGTCTTTTATCCGATGTTCATACCTCGAATTCTCTTGTAAACATGTATGCTAGATGTGGAAGTATAGATGATGCTAGTCGTGCTTTTTTTGAAGTTCCCGAAAAGGGTATCGTCTCATGGTCCGCTATGATTGGTGGACTTGCCCAACATGGATACGGGAAAGAAGCACTTTCGCTTTTTGACAAAATGTTAAAAGACGGAATTGCCCCTAACAACGTTACTCTAGCTAGCGTCCTATCTGCTTGTAACCATGCGGGGTTGGTAACTCAAGCGAAAACATACTTCGAAACAATGGAGGGCGTTTTCGGAATTAAGCCGACACAAGAACATTACGCGTGCATGATTGATATTCTTGGGCGTTCGGGAAAGTTAGATGAGGCGATGGATTTATTAAGTCGGATGCCATTTGAGGCTAATGCTTCGGTTTGGGGGGCGGTTCTTGGTGCTGCAAGAACTCATAAAAACGTTGACCTTGGTCAACGGGCTGCCCGAGAGCTTCTTGTTCTTGAACCGGAAAAATCGGGCACCCATTCTCTTCTTGCAAATATATACGCATCGGTTGGTTTATGGGAAGAGGTTGCGGATACAAGGAGGTTGATGAAAGATAGTAAGGTCAAGAAAGAGCCCGGGATGAGTTGGATTGAAGTTAAAGATAGGGTATACACATTCATAGTAGGAGATAGAAGCCATTCTATGAGTGAAGAAATATTTAAAAAACTTGGGGAGTTGATGGATTTGATTCGTGAAGAAGGGTATGTTCCGGTTTTGGAAAATGATCTTCATAATGTTACAACAAGTGAAAAGGAGGTGCTTTTGTTGTATCATAGTGAGAAACTTGCGGTTGCTTTTGGGCTCATTGCTACTCCTCCAAGAGCTCCGATTAGGGTTAAAAAGAATCTTAGGGTTTGCATAGATTGTCATACTTTTTTGAAATTTGTTAGTAAAGTTGTCACGAGAGAGATTATTGTTAGAGACATCAACCGATTTCACCATTTCCGAGACGGAAATTGTAGTTGTGGAGATTATTGGTGAAACTTTGATGTCGATGGATACCTGATTTTCATCTCATTAAGGGTTGCTGGAAGAATAACTTTTTTTTGTTGCAGAAACTCCCGTTATAAGATGTTAATTCCATTTCTTTATATTACCAATACAGTTATTTCCATTTTCTTCTTATTAAGATATTGTAATTTAAAAAATTTACTCCGTTATAGCAGTAAATATTATTTTTATTGACATTTTTTTTAAAATACAATGATGTAATAAAACTAATAAACAAAAGCACGTTGTTATTTCTTGCATTAAAATTTAAACCCCAATAAAATTTGAACCTCTATAATCGTAGCTATGAATAAAAAAATTACCAAAAAAATGTACAATTGGTAATGGATAACAATACAACAATGCTATACATTTTCTTTTGTTCACATAAACAACGAATCCTCGGACATTATCGTCAACAAAGAATACTTAACTTTGACTCTAATCCTTCCACCCTCGACACACAGCTTAGCTCCGGTGACCACCCAATACCCTGGCGGATCTTCCGGGCCCCTCACCATTTCCCTAGTATCAACAAAATACGACATTTTCGGTGCTCTCAAAGGCGGGCCACCCGGATAAATAGCCGAATTCAAATCCACCTTTACAGGCTTCTGATCAGGCGCATTGAGCCCTATACTAAACGGTGTACTCATCAATGTCGACATCAACCCCGATTTCCTAGAATGCATCGACGGTCCATCCCATTCTGACCTTCGGATCCTTGCGGACCCTACCATAGAGTATCCGAGCCTTAAAAAGAGGACTTTTTTCATACCTAAGCCTTTGACTTCAAACCATGCTTTTGTGACTATGGATGCTGAGTCATCGATGCGGGTCCCACTATATTCAACGGGGACCGTGCATACGTGGGAGAAAATGCTCCATTTTACGGGCTCTAAGTAGCCTTTTCCGATTGGCTCGTCGGTTGGTTTGTAGGTGTAATCGTCTGACAGTTCGAGTGTTTTTGGGACGGATGATAAATGTTGTAGATGGATGGCTAACCGGTCGCTTTTTTGTCCTTCTAGGTATAATCGCACACCTGTCACGGGCCTATTTTCTGAATCCACCTGTAAATAGATAAATTATTATATACTTTATGTTTATTTTATTATTAAGACAATATACTTTGAAAAACGTACCCCAATTATAGCAATGAAAATTGTTTTGTATTTTGATGGCATTGTTATAATTGGTTGATTTTTTAAAACCACAATGAAGAAATTAAAATTGAGTGCTATAAATCTAATAAATAAATGAATGAAAGTATGTTGTTATTTCTTGGCAAGATTTTACCTTTACAGTGTTGACATAAAGCCGAGGACCCAAGAAAGTGAACTGAAGTGATGGTGACGGGTTTTTCTTGCGTCGAGAGGCGAGTGGAAGATCGCCATATGCTGGGGCCCACTGTCGTGGTAACTGGAACTCGAGAAATTGATCAAGCTCCTCAATTGGTGGTTTATCTGTGTATGAATTAAAACATGTTTTTAAGAAATTCCCTTATACTTTTTTGACAATAAATATTGCAATTTTTAAACCCATATATATAAAGAAAAAAAAAAGAAGTAAACACTTACATCGAAGGTAGAGATTAATCGCGTGGCTTAAAAACCCACTACCACGGACCCCACTTAAAAGCGCGACAATTGGAATAAATGACATAGAAACGACATTAGGTGATTGTGATACGGTTGAAAGCCAACTTTTGTGGCTTTGACCTTGGTCAATTCCTCCGCGACGTACATGAATGCTTAGTAGATCCTAAACAAAACAGTCAGATGTCATAACAGAACAAGTTGTACTGTGTTTAGCATGCATTGGACATGGTCTGTGAGACGGATGTCAATGAGACAAAAATTCAAATATTTTGTGCCAGGAAAAGGGGACAAGGACTCGTTTGTGCAAAAGACGTAAATGTCCTTCTCCTCCTTATCGTGTAAATAGCTCACGAAATTAATTGCTTACATCGTTCTTGGATTGGGAAACAACGGATTGTCGTAGAGAATTCGCGAGTATAGGAGGGAGATCCCAAGCTACAGATCGTGCATCCTACATTTTAATAAGAATACAATTTGATTTTTATATTTTGACCGAAACCCATGTCAAATCAATTTACTTTACAAAAAAATAGAATTTAACACATTTGGTTTCAAGGTGGTATCTATAGGAGTTTCAATTCCAATGTGGATTGAGCTTCTTACGACTATGTATGTACCTGATTTAGACTTTACATAATTGTTTAGGTCATGCAGTCCAGTGTGGGCCAGCTAAGAGGTTGTTGGTAAAAGAACTTTTTACACAAGAAAAAAATTCTAATTTTCTACACTTTATATAATTTAGTCAACATACCTTTTGCTTTGAGCCCGAAACCGAACCTTCATATACATCTTCAGACAATTCATCATCCGCTAATTTCTTTAACAAATTCTGCACTTCAGTGGGCTCTAAATTGGAACTTTGTAGCTGCTTTAGGTAAATTACATCTTTACCCCCCATCTTTACCCCGACAACAATATGAGTACCATATTTATCTATAAACCTGAAAACATAACCATTTTCATAGTCCGTTTAAGTTTAAGTTTTAACGACATAATTCTTTAAAAAGCATTAAATATCAAGATTTTCAAGATAGGGCAAAAATCAAAAAATGTCATACTCAGCAAGAGCAGTGGGATCCCATGAAGAAGGCACTTCTTGCTTCACTTTCTCAGACAACGAAATCTGGGATTTTGCTAATTCGATGTTGTACAATGTAATAAACCAGCCGTCAAATGCTAGATTCTTTGTAATCGGAGCGTCTTTTTGCCAACATCCTTTGTAACCGAACATTGAATTGAAGAACCCTGAAGGTATCTTTCCCGATAATGATAATTCGTGATTGAATTGCTCCGACATCTGATATACATACATACATACATACATAAGATTAGAAAATTACTAGGTTTGGAATTGGAAATTGGAAGTCAAAGTGTGAGGTGAACTTACGTGATTGAAGGAAAGAACATCGGAATGGAACCTGGTACGTTCACCTTTATCGCACTTAATCGACGGGGAAACATTGGGGACAACGACGCCGCCGGGAATTACTAGATCTTTAGTTAGGGTTCCGTCGAGTTCGATTAGTGGTGACCCGGATGGACCGGGTTTACAACCGGTTAACCGGATATCGGAAGTGAGGTCGTAGCCGTACCCAATTACCGACACCGCCGTCTCCGCCGCTGATTGAGGATCAAAGAAATTCGCTTTGTAAATTGACATCTTATTTGTCTGAATTTCTGCAGCAGGGGTCTCGAAATTTGAAATTTGATGAATCTAGAGGAAGAAGAAGGAAAAAAGGGGATTTCCGATTTCACCAAGTTGATTCAATTCTTTCAGATGAAACTTTTACTTTGTGATTTGTTGAGTGTATTCAAAATGGTTTATTGGGATTCGAGTTGGTGGGTGTCTTCGTTGTGGTTTGTTGCGTTGTGGTGGGGTTCCTGAAATTGGACAGTGTGAATGGAGGTGGTGAACAATGGCGGCCGAATGGGTGTTGTGGGTTGGTGCCACGTGGAATTGCTTGTGGTTTATAAGAGTTGACTTTGAAGAGTCTATGAAGTGTGAATTAAACAATGAAAAAGTACCATAAGACCAATTCTTTGATGTCGAAAGTGTCTTCCATATGAATTCAAGTAAAATTGGTTAGTTGTTGCTTTATACTTTATGTTAGAGCAATTTGTATGTAATGTTCTATTTAAAGGAAATTTGTATGTAATGTTCTATTTAAAGGAACATATTTTTGCATCAACATTTTAAGGCTTATGTAGTACGATTAATAGAGGAATGAGGACCCTGTTATACTACACAATTAATTGTAACAATATAACATATTTTTCCAACGTAGTTCAACTTATGAGATATGATGCATTGATTTTTTTAAAAATGGATTGTATCGACACTAGTTATAAAACAATTCTGATAACTCTTCCGTCAATGTAACCACTTGGGTTGTCAATTTTTCTTCCAAACATATGTTACTGACTTTTTTGTCGATATTTGCTAAAAGTCGTCTCTATTAACTGAGAGCATATTATATTCCAGAGACTCATAATTTTGTTATCTTTATTAAGTTAGGCAACAAAATTATAAACAATCATTGAACAACCCAACTACAAAAACTTGGTAAATTTTCGGTATAAATACATAATATGTGGAATAGATGGACCGGATTGGAGACTTGAAGTAGAGGGTGGGGTGATTACTGATTTTATTTGTTTTTTTTTTTTTTTTTTTGTTTTTTATTTATTTTTTTTTGTTTTTTGTAATTAGTGTCTCTTAACTTCATGATTTAGGTGCAAATGATAATGCAATAAATACATCATTTTTAAAGAATTAATTATAAGAATACATATAATAATTATTTTTTTGAAACGACAGAAATTTTATAAAAACAAACAACTGTCAAAGAGAAAAATGAGGGAAAAAAGAAACAAAAATTACAAAATGTTAAAAGGGCAACACACTCACACATTTCAATTACAATCATCAAAATTGCACCTAAACTTTACCCAATTGTGAACCGAAGTGATAATGTAGTCCGCCGTTTTCGTAGGAGAAATATGAATTTTTGTTGAAAATTTAATCGTTTCTCGTCTTCCAAACGTGCTAGAAAAAACCATAAATAATAGCGCTCAAAATTTTCCTATTTTTTGGGTATCTACCCCAATTGGCAGCAAAATTGACAACATGATTGAAACTTTGGTGAGAATATCGCACAACTTGAAAATCCACAAAATAACTTCTCTAGCAAAAAAGTTAAAAACAATCAACCAGGATGTGATCTGATGAATCCAAACCGTCCAAACAAAGAAGACAATCGAAGACAATGATCGACACGCCTCTTTGAGCGAGCTCCAAAGAAGTTGGAATACGACCCATAGTAGCCTTCCAAATGAAACCAATGATTTTGATCAGGACCAAGTTCAACTAAACAGTAGGATTGTCGACACCACAAGTAATTTTGGAATCAACAATAGACTGGAGATCCTTGAAATAAAATTTCACATCCACAACCAATATGTTTTAGACAGTAATTTCATTATTTAATGCAAAAGTATAGCATATTTGTCGGTTAATAATGATTTGTGTATTACAAAACTGTATTTTATTTTAATTCGATGATTAAAAATTACAATAATTTTGTCCCAACTAAAGAGTTTTATGAAATATAAAAAATACATAATTTTTGACTTTTCGAACGAATATCCAGCTTTTAAACTTTTCTAATGTTTAGGGTTTACAACTTACTACTATTATCCATTTATCCTAAACTTGTTGTCTTAAAGAAGGCTATTATTTTTTACATAAAATTGAGAAACGTGATAAATGTTTTTTTTAAGAACAAAATAAAATGAGTAAATGACAATTAAAATCTAGATTTTGATAAACAACTAATTGTTTTGACTTTGTGAAAATTATAATTATACTTTGACAATGAACATAGAACAAAATTAATTAATATGAATAAAACGGTAAATATACACATTTCCATATATGATCAAAATTCAAATAACATATGTGGACTGTGGAGTGTAGTAGGTCCATCTATATTCACGAAACATGTCTAGAAAAGGGTTTCAACTTTCAAGTGCTTGTTTATTGCATTATTTTTTTGGATTATGATATTATAGTACACAATTAATCGTAGTTATAGCAAAATATAATACCCATATTAATTCAGATTATAAGATTTGTTAAATACGATTGGGCCTGATTAAATACGATTCCTTCCTTCATCGTCACAAGCTACGAACATTCGCTTTTCCGGCGTCTGTAAGGTTGCGTTTAGTTGCGAAAAAACAGTTTTCATTTTCTGTTTTCTATTTTCCGTTTTCAGTTTTCGTTTTCCGCTTTCAGTTTTCATTGGAAAATTTAGAAAACGCGATTAGTTAAATCTTATTCATTTTTCATTTTCCGTTTTAGAAAATTAGAAAACACGTTTAGATATGCATTTTTCTATGAGTTTTCATTTTCAAATTTTTGGTATTTTAACTAACATCACACAAACCCGCAATGCCACTCACACTCCACCCCACCCCACCCCACCCCACCCTACCTTACCCTACCTCATCCCACACTACCCCACCCCACCAACCCCTACCTCACCCTACCTCAACCCACACTACCCCACCAATCCCTACCCCACCCTATCCCACCCCACTTCACCCTACCTCATATCGATCTAAGATTGATCATCCATGGTTACCAAATCATTTCATGGTGCATTTTATTTTAATGTTATTTATATGATGTTTTGGGGTGGTGGTGGTGATGACGGACGGGGGTAGTGGTGGTGGTGGTGGCGGTGGGGACGGTGGCGGTGGTGGGGGCAGCGGTGGTGGGGTGGGCGTGGGGACGGTGGCGGTGGTGGGGGCAGTGGTGGTGTCGATGATGGCGACGGTGGTGGTGGTGGTGGCGGTGGCAACGGGGTGGCGGCGGTGGTGGTGGTGATGACGGGCGGTGGTGATGGCGGCGACAATTGTGGTAGTGGTGGTGATGGTGTTGGTGGTGGTGCTGGTGATGGGGTAGTGGTGATTGTGATGGTAGGTCGGTGATTGTGATAGTGGTGTTGGGTGTGTGTGTGTGTGTGTGGTTGTGGGGTGGGGGTGGGTGTGGGTGTGAGTTTGTGGGTGTGTGTGGGTGGGGGCGGGTATGTGTTTGTGGGGGTGGGTGTGGGGGTGTGTGTGTGTTTGTGGGGGTTGGTGTGTGTGTGTGTTTGTGGGTGTGTATCTTTGTGGGGGTGTGGGTGTGTGTGTGTGTGTGTGTTTGTGGGGGTTGGTGTGTGTGTGTGTTTGTGGGTGTGTATGTTTGTGGGGGTGTGGGTGTGTGTGTGTGTGTGGTTGTGGGGGTGGGCTTGGGAGTAAATGTAGGTAGGTAGGGGTGTGGTGGGTTGGGGTATTAAGGTGAGAGTAGGTAGATGTGGATGGGGTGGGATTGGGTGTTTATATTTTAGAAAAAATTTGGAATTAGAAAAATGTAGAAAACAATGATTATCGGTTTTCCAAAAATATCCAACTTCTTTGTAATTTTAGAAAACGGAAAATTTTTATTTTTCGTGAAAAATTTAGAAAAATAGACGAACTAAACGCATTTTCAAAATTCTTATTTTTCTTGAAATTTTTTTTCCGGAAAACAGCCCATTTTTCCGCAACTAAACGCACCCTAAATCTCTCCGATAGTCGGCGTTTGGAACTCTTACGCCTTCGTCACTGGTATGTTAAACCGATAAATTCTCTTAGTGCATTTATGTGGTAATCGCGAATCACTTCATTCTAACCCTACCATAGTCGTGATTTGGTGACTGTAGTTTTAAATCAATGTGGTTAGGGAGACAACTGAAATTATGCCGTTAGTATTCAGGATTGTTTTATTTCTGCCTATAATCTAATTCACGCACTACAAGAAATGGGACCTATAGGGACGAAAAATGTCGTCTCTATAGGTTAAAAAGTCGTCCCTATAGGTATCCAGGACGACATGTCGTCCCTATAGCTTTCGTCACCATAGCCCCGTCGCAATAGATCTTTTTGGTCGTCGCTACAAAATTTCGTCGCAATAGGTATCCTTTAGAGACGACATGTCGTCTTGTTCTGGTTCGTCGCTATACGGTTTCAGTCTCCATAGACGAAGCTATAGAGGCGACATGTCGTCTCTGTAGGTGTATCTTTAGAAACAACATGTCGTCCCCATAGATAGCCCTTTAGTGACAACATGGCGTAGTGGTAGATGCACCAGTAGAGATGACATGTCGTCTCTATAGGTATGTCCATACAGCTTATTTTTTTTTCTCTATAATTTCCCAGTTTTCACATCACAAAATTGCTAAAGCAACTAAAACGGTAAATTTAATTGCAAAGCATTGAAATATGATACAATCTCAAAACACTGCATTATTGCAAATATAATTCATATGAAGAACAAAATTATTAACTTGAGGAAATTTGCATAATCTTCACATGCCTTATCATTTGTGTACGTAACACTACATTCTACATGATTTATAAAAAAACATCAACAATGGATTGCTTCTCATCATTGCGTGCCCTTCTTTGCTCCCTAAAGATCTTCTTCCAAATGGTATAATACTTTGCTTTCTGGGTGTTCAGCTGGGGGTTTAGCATCCTACTTGCATTGCAAATATGATAGTTTGTACATCTCTCTGTGAACGGTATTGACTTGGAATGCAAAGAAACGAATCAAAACAAAAAAGCACATTTGAATCCTTGGTGTCAATAAGCTATATGATATATATAAATGGCCATTTATATTGGACCAAATCCAAACCACAGGGACAAAAAATGTAACTTACCCTATTTTTCATTACTTTATAAGTGGAAATTATTAAAAGGAAAATGCATTATTTATAAAGATTATGTTGAACTTACAATCTGGAGCACATTTGCTTCCATAACCTCTGTTTACTTGGCTGGATTTTTTGAACAACAATATGACAAGCTTCTCTAATAGGCATCTGTCATGTAATTTATTTCCATTTTCCATCAAAAAAACAAATTAAATAAGACACTGCAAATAAAAAAAAAAAAACAAATGTTCACCTGCAAAACAAGACTTCCAGAGTAGTCAGCAATTCCTCCAATAACATCTAATGTTCCAGGTGCTCTTGGCACATATATATCTTCCTGTATCAGCAAATAATGGGATGAACTCCAAGGAGGGCAAAATAGTCATTTTACTAGGGAAAAGAAAATTACCTCCCAATTAAAGAGACCAGCAGCAGCCTTGCGCTCACAAACATATTGTTTTTCAGTCAGAATCATGTAAAGCTTCTTATTCAGCAAAACTCCTCAAAAAACTCAAAAAACTCTACCCTTTGTTGGAGGTACAAAATAAAAACATAAGATGCTAATCAATAAGATAAAATATGAACTTTTATATACTGAATGTTACCCTGTGTAACACGACTTTCAACAGCTTCACTCTGGCTTCCAACACTGCTCCCTATAAGAAATCAGATTTGATACTTGATATTAAAAAGAAAAGCAAACAAAGATAAACATCTAAACATAACCACTAAATGAATATCATTGAAAGTTTGCCTGATAAAGAACTCGCATCCCTTGATTTTGTAGCAATTGAAGCCCTACAAATTCACATCATTGCTTATGACCAGATTAAATAGTGTATTATAGAAAACTAGAGTAACAAAAAAAGTAAAAACAATAATAGCAATGTTGGTGTGCATACCGTTGAGAATATGCTACTTTTTCCATTTTAACTTTTCTGCAATGTTTTAGACCAAGTTAATTTGTTAAAGTTAAAAACAAGGAAAACTAAAGATCTTGAGACCAATGTCACTCACCCAGATTTGGAGCCATTAAAAGCTTCATTCTTTTGAAGATTACCCTGAGAATTGCTAATATCTGCCAGAACTTTTCTTCCTACTTCACCTTGAGCTGTGATGTGAAGCATAAAATTGTTAAAAAGTTGTACAAACAAGAAAACTTCTTTTACTGAAAGTAAAGTTGCATAATGCTTACTAGAGCTGATAAGCAACCCGTAGAGCAGAACGCAATCAACATCTAAAGCAAATATCAACAACTTACACTCCTATGATAAAAGCAAATTTCATGTTGATCAAATCAGATTAATTACACGTGGTTGTGTATGAAATCAACAAAGACATAGTCTGTGTATGAAATCAGCAAATAACAGATTTTAGATAACTATAAAATCAGATTCAAAAAGAATCAACAAAGACATCGCATTCAAACAATGATAAAGAAATCGTAACTTACCTGAGTCGTCGATGCCTTAAACGTTGTATGTTCTAAGTTCCTAATTCCAATTACAGGTTGTCTTGACAGTGATCAGTGTTGAAAACATATCTCGGTGAAAAAAATACCTTTTAATCGCAAAAGCAAAATCCACAGAGAAATCGATACTCCATGCTTGAATAACCAATAACTAGAAGGAAAATCAATAGAAAAGTCGTTGATGTGGTTACAGTTTATAAGTATTGCATCTTCAAAACAAGAAGCTGTGAAAGAAAATCACAATTCTAGTTTCAAACACGTAATTGCTAACATAAACCTCAATTCCAGTTTCAAACAGAGAATTACTAACCTAGGTCGCCGGAGTGGGGCTTGTATTCGTTAGAATTCGTAACCGGAGGTGAAAATGAAGCCGATAGTTAGAATCGTCGGAGTTGAAGCTAATCGCCGGTGGTCTTCGGCAACAAGCATGAGGATCGAGAGAGTGGAAGAAGATTTGCCGGGAGTGGGAGGTGAGGAAGTCGCCACGGGAGAATTGTCGATCGATCGATCGAGAGTGAGACGGTTGATTGAGCGTGCGTGAATTAAATGAAGGGGCCTGTTCTCGTAATTTCGGGCATAGAAAGCTATGGGGACGACAAGTCGTCCCTATAGTTATCCCCAAAATGATGTCCCAGTCTTATTTCCCTGAAATTATTAAATAAATATGTTATTTTTAATTTTTGTTATTTGTTAGACCGATAAATCGTCGCTATAGATGTTTAAAGAACGCGCCAAATCCACTTCATTTCCCGCTTAACATGTTGAGACGACAAGTGGTCGCTGTAGCTTCAAAAGTCAAAAAAATCTGTCAACTCTATGGCGACGACAGATCGTCCCTATAGGTAGCCTATAGCGACGACAGATGTCGTCCCTATAGATCTCGTCCCTATAGGTGTTTATTCTTGTAGTGACGATGATTACGTGTTATAACGCCTTCAATTCATCGTTCTCTGTATATCTTTCTTCAGTTAATGTAAATCATTAGTTTGTTCCGTGCAAGTTTATATTTATATATGCATTGTTTGTGTATTTACAACACTTCACCACTGTGATATTTTTATGCAAATTGCATGTTTTTGTTATTGGTAAATTATGGATACACATTACGTCTAAATGTACGTAAGATTTTCTTGCTTTGTATATGCTAAAGTTACCTACAAATACAATGACATCAAAATCAAAAGGACAAGAAACAGAAGAGAGGAATTGGGTGGAGGTCCCATATGATGTAATGGCTAATATTCTACACAGAATTGGTGCTTTTGACATACTTGAGAATGCCCATAAAGTTTGCACAAGTTGGCATAAAATCTGTAAGAACCCTATGATGTGGAGAGTTATAGACTTTTCAGTTAAATATGCAAGGCTGGATCAACTACCAACATGTTGCTGATAGGTATGTGAGGGCTTAATTATTGTGCATTCAAGAATCAAGATTTTGTCTCTTAATTGGGGTTTTGAATTGTTACTTTAACAGATCATAGTTTTCTTTAGATTTCTCACATTTTAATGACGATTCACAACTTAATCTTATTAAAACATTTGTTTTTCACAAACACATCAATCCCCTCGGCCACCACCACCGCCACCATTTGAAGTGGCACACATGGAGCACATTCGACGACGTGCTTTTATAGACAATTGTGCCTAGGACCTTCTTTCCTGTAACCATATGTAAGGTGTAACATAAATACTTAAATTTATGATACATGATGAAATTTCAAGGTTCTTAAAATGCATGAAATAGAGGACAGAATGGAACTATAAATTTATAGTATAAGAATGGAAATGAGTATTTGTTGCATGCTTAATTTTACTGTAATTAGAATGTTAGATTATGTCATATGGATAGTTATTAATGTTAAACTACAAGTCTAGAATGTATGTGGTGATAACCTGATGAACATATAAGAAAATTAGTGAAACATAGAGGTTTCACAAAATGACAAGTGTCCTACTTTGTGACCATGGAAATCAAACATAAATACATAATAGTTGTGATATAAAAGTTCCAATATGGAGATGAGACAACATGGAAAGCAACTTAAAATGAAGGGGTTATGCACAAAACGAATAAACTCATTTGTAGTTGAAATGAAAAAGTAATAAGACTAACAAGATGATATTGCTTTCTTTCGGTCCGAGATACAACTTAGGGTTTGCCAAAAGCTTAGCTCGTTTCACGCTTAGTTTAACCTTGGACAATATATACTACTGTAAAGTAGATTTTAAAAAATACAACGTTCGAATAAAAAAATTGAAGTACAATTTCTCAATAAGAAGAAAATGGAAAATACCAAGGTTGTTAAAATCCCAATTTTGATCTTAAGTTCTTACGTTTTTAAGATCCTACAAGTCAAACACTACGATCCTGATCTCACCTCATTATTTATTATATAGCCAAGTGTAAAAAAAATTAGTCTATTCAAGTTAAAATCGAGCATCACAAGTTGCAAGAAGTCTTGTAAAGCATCACCATTTCATCGATACATCTTGAATTAGACAGAACACACTCATAATAATCTTTGTGATCTTATGTCTTTAGTTTATATGATCAAAATGATTTTTTTTCTTCTAATTAAGACGTTTTCTTCTTAAATTTTATGGTTCGTAGCAAAAATAATTATGATTTATCCTTAAGAAGTTAAAGTTGATTCCATTATCGACGTCTTGCGAGCAAATTTGAATATGAATTCATTTTAGTAGAATCTTTCGATCCCGTCCGATTTTACGATCACGATCTTGCAAAACGTAAAATGATCTTAAGTAAGATCCCGATCTTGACAACCTTGGAAAATACAGTGTTATAAATATATACAAAATTGAATTAAATTGTTATAATAAACTAATAAGTTAAACTAAACTGTTATTTCTTGTATTTAGCCCAATTTTATCATTACCTTCCTTTTCGACGAAAACCATGTACAACCCTAGTTACAAGTCCTGTGGTAACCCTTGATGGCCACAAGCGTATCAAGTAATATGTAAATCAGGTATCTACATTAAAATTAAAACCACTAGACGACTTTGTTAAGACTCGTACCCTCACCAATAATCTCCACAACTACAATTTCCGTCTCGGAAATGGTGAAATCGGTTGATGTCTCTAACAATAATCTCTCTCGTGACAACTTTACTAACAAATTTCAAAAAAGTATGACAATCTATGCAAACCCTAAGATTCTTTTTAACCCTAATCGGAGCTCTTGGAGGAGTAGCAATGAGCCCAAAAGCAACCGCAAGTTTCTCACTATGATACAACAAAAGCACCTCCTTTTCACTTGTTGTAACATTATGAAGATCATTTTCCAAAACCGGAACATACCCTTCTTCACGAATCAAATCCATCAACTCCCCAAGTTTTTTAAATATTTCTTCACTCATAGAATGGCTTCTATCTCCTACTATGAATGTGTATACCCTATCTTTAACTTCAATCCAACTCATCCCGGGCTCTTTCTTGACCTTACTATCTTTCATCAACCTCCTTGTATCCGCAACCTCTTCCCATAAACCAACCGATGCGTATATATTTGCAAGAAGAGAATGGGTGCCCGATTTTTCCGGTTCAAGAACAAGAAGCTCTCGGGCAGCCCGTTGACCAAGGTCAACGTTTTTATGAGTTCTTGCAGCACCAAGAACCGCCCCCCAAACCGAAGCATTAGCCTCAAATGGCATCCGACTTAATAAATCCATCGCCTCATCTAACTTTCCCGAACGCCCAAGAATATCAATCATGCACGCGTAATGTTCTTGTGTCGGCTTAATTCCGAAAACGCCCTCCATTGTTTCGAAGTATGTTTCGCTTGAGTTACCAACCCCGCATGGTTACAAGCAGATAGGACGCTAGCTAGAGTAACGTTGTTAGGGGCAATTCCGTCTTTTAACATTTTGTCAAAAAGCGAAAGTGCTTCTTTCCCGTATCCATGTTGGGCAAGTCCACCAATCATAGCGGACCATGAGACGATACCCTTTTCGGGAACTTCAAAAAAAGCACGACTAGCATCATCTATACTTCCACATCTAGCATACATGTTTACAAGAGAATTCGAGGTATGAACATCGGATAAAAGACCAGATTTTAAGGTATGAACATGGATTTGTTTACCTTGTTCATAAGCAGATAAAATAGCCGAAGCATTTAAAAGAGAGCTACAAATGTAAGAATCGGGCTTAAGTTCCAAATCTTGCATTTTTAAGTAAAGTTTTATAGCTTCTTCACCTTGTCCCGATTGAGCATAAGCAGATATCATAGACGTAAAAGTCGCCAAGTCAGCGATATCCGATTCGTCAAATACCATCTTTGCCCTTTCCACATAACCACATTTTGAATAAGAATCGATAAGACTGTTTATGACAAAAGGGTCGGATTGGAATCCGGTTTTTAAAGAAAGCCCATGGATTTGTTCACTAACATATACATCTTGCAAATTAGCTGAAGATTTGAGGATTTTAATTAAAGTGGTTTCATCAAATCCGATTTCGTCCATATGTTTAGCAAAAAGGGTCAAAGCTTCAATGTCATTTCCGTTTTCAGAGTGTCCAGATAACAAAGCGTTTAATGCAATCAACTCTTTTTTTGGCATCGTATCATATACCCTTTGGGCATCATCCATTTCACCACATTTTGAATATATATTAATAAGCCCACAACAAAGATGAAGATCCAATTCTATTTCTGATTTTATAAGAAAGGAATGGAACTGTTGGCCCAAATCTTGGAGACCTAATCCAGAACAAGCTTTAAGAACACTTGAATAAGTAAACTTATTTGATGTGATTCCTGACCTTTTCATCTTAAAAAATAACTCCAAACATAAATTATAGTATTCATGAAGAACACATCCAGCAATAATTGCATTCCAGGAGACTATATCGGGGTTAGGAATGTGGTCAAAGACTGTTTTAGCATCTTCAAAGTCTTCAACTTTTGAGTACATATCAGCAAGTGCATTACACGAAAAGGGATCAGAAGTGTACCCATGTTTGATTAAATACCCATGAATTTTTCTCCCATGGGTTATATCTTGTAAGCCTGTGCATGCGTTGATTATAGTTGATAAACTGAACTCATCTGGGATAAATCCATTACCAATCATATCTTGAAATAAATCAATTGCTTCTTTAAAGAAATCACCCTGTTTATAACAAGAAAACATTGCATTCCAAGAAACTATGTTTCGGTTTCGGTCTGGAATCTGATAAAAAAGCCTCCTTGAATAAAAAAACTCACCACATTTTGCATATAAATCAACCAATGTATTGGCTACAAAAACATCATTTTGGAAACCAGTCACCATGACAATTCCATGTATCTGTTTCCCTCCAATGATATCCTTCTTCATGGAGCATGCTTTGAGGACACTAGGGAATGTGAATTCGTTACATCTAATACCCAACGAGTGCATCTCTGTAAAAGCCAAAAGCGCCTCTTTGCAGAGACCATTTTTGGCATACCCTGATATCAAAGTGGACCAAGCAACCAAATCTGGTTCAGGACTTTCATCGAGCAACTTGCGTGCAGAGTCAAAAGCTAGACACTTTGAATATAAATTAACCAGATGATTCCTGTGTTTTGGATTATTCTCCAATCTGACTTTGATGAGGTGGGTATGGATCTGTATCCCAGGATAGAGCGACTTGGTTTGACAGCATTGAGATAAGAGTTTAGAGTAGGAAATCGAGTTGGGTGTCCATTCAGCATCGTGGGTGACGTTTAAGATAGTTGTAGTCTGTGGATTTTCAGTGATTATGGCCAGAGATTGTATGCACCTAGCGAAGAAGATGGATTTGTAGAGTTGAATTTGTGGTTGAAGGAGATTGTGGAGGGAAAATAATCGCTGAAGATACATGGGTCGGATCCCATACACAGCACATGTTTTATATCGTATATTTGTATCCTAGGGAATACACACAAGTTTTTATATATACCCTTTAGCTTTTAATAAAGTTCGAATCAGTCCCTTTAGTTATTTAGGATGCCTTCAAAAAATTCATTTTAAATACAACAGTTGGTAGAATGTTGCACACCTGTCTATAATTTGGTAAAATCAAATAGTATATCTTAAGATTAAAGTTGCAATAATCAATATTGCTATTTGAAGTGAAATTACATTCTCGCCTCTAACTTTAATTACTTTTTTGTAACTATTTGTTTGATGGGCGAAAACACAAAAGAATATCAAAAACCTATGCTTAGGGCCCAACTCAAACCTTTTAAAAGAAAATGTACTTTTCCAGGCTTCCAGGTTTGCTCAGACCTCCTTTGGGCCCAACTCAAACACTTTAAAAGAAAATGTACTTTTCCAGGCTTCCAGGTTTGCTCAAACCTCTAAGAATATCAAAAACCCATAAGTAATAATGTAATATAATATATTTGAATAAGGTACTGTATATATAAAATCTGTTTTTTTATGTAGATCAAATAAAACATTGAATAATAACCATTTACGTTAATTTTAAATAAACAAATTATATAATCTTCATTTTTTGGTTTAACCCATTAAATCATTTCATATAATAAGTACCATATATAATTGTCCATATGAACCATATTAAACGTTTAAAGTGGAGTAAAACTGTAAAAGCTATGGAGTTTTAAGGTTTTTGTTACTTATAAATAGGAAGGTGGTGGGAAAAGTTATTATAGATTGTTTAAGGCTTTAAGCAATCAAGCTTTCAGCTCTCATTCAAACATTGTTGAGTGGAATTATTGAGTAAGAAAAGCTATAATATATATATAATATATATATATATATATATATATATATATATATATATATATTATATATATATATATATATATATATATATATTACTTTTTCGTTTTTATCGGTCCCAATTAGATTAGGAATAATATTGTTTTCTGTTCTAGACTTGTGACTAGATTCTCTACCATCAATACAAGCTTTTATGTACATGCTTGTACACATTACAAATGTATGCACATTAATCCTCATAAGTTGTTTGTTTTCCTTCTCCAACAGCAACACAAATTTTTAACAAGTAATTCATTAAAATAACTATGAATCGGCCACAAGATGGGGTCTTTTTAAGTTGTTGTTTCCCTTCTCTATAACTAAATAAATACAATATAATTATTGATTCAACAAAACAAGATATTTAAAATATTTAAAATCGAAGATCTTTTGTAAACTTACTTGGATATAATTCATGATACATGCTAGATCACCATCTTCGTTTATATTTTCAATATTTTTTATTCTATAGATATTGTTTATGAAAGTTTCGAATATATATAGATATATATATATATATATATATATATATATATATATATATCTATATCTATATATATATATATAGTATATTGATATTGATATTGTATTGTATTGTAGTGTTTTTTCTTTTTCTCGTCCATCTCCAACGTCTACTATATATATGAAACTAACTGAAGCTCGTGAGTACTTAGTGAGTTCATTTGCAGGCTAATTATATAACTGATTGGACATAATAAATTGGTTCGTGAAAAATAAATTGCTTTCACAAACCTGTATTAAGCTAAAAATACAGTTGTTATTTTTAAATACGACTCCACACTTTATAGTAATTTCAGTCAATAACTCTAATCTAAATCCAGTTTATTTATGTATAAGTTCATATATATTTATTATTTAAGTTTTTGAGTATACTCATAACTCATAATAAGTAATAATATTTTCTAATAACTTTCTAGACTTTATTTTTTTTTTATTTTTTTTATTTTTCCCTTTTGCGAGTTACTTTTATGAAAGTATTTAAAAGTCATTAGTATCGAGATCACAATTTATCCCGTAAGATTAAAACTTATTTATGAATAAATTTTAATAAAGAAACGTAGAAGGTTCAATTGGTCACATATTCAAACTTGGAGTACTTAAATGGAAACTATCCCAAACCCGAAATCCCCAAAATGCAGTCGAATCCCCGTTGTCTATTAGGGTTAGGGTTTATCGATTGGTGGGGAGTAACTAGTCAACTGACCGACTGAACTTCGATTCCACGGTTGCGATGTCGACAGCGGCGGAGACAGAGATTGATATTAAACAACCAGAACAGGTAGCTCGAGTAGTAACGAAGAGGAAGCCTGTTTTTGTCAAGGTCGGTGATCTAAAACCTGGAACCAACGGCCACACACTCGCCGTCAAAGTCTTGTCTGCCACCACCGTCTTAGACAAGAAATCACGCTATACGTCGTCGTACACTAGTCGCCCCGGAGCTGCTCATACTCGCATCTCCGAGTGCCTTATCGGCGATGAAACCGGCACCGTTCTTTTCACTGCTCGTAACGATCAAGGTCTCTCTCTCTCTCTCTCTCTCTCTATATATATATATATATATATATATATATATATATATATATCCATCTCTTTAACGCCTTTTATATGATACTTATCTTCGATCTACAAGTACACGACTTTTATCGATCTGTATCTGTAATTACAGTGTTCAATCTAACCGATTGAACTCGAGGCTTGCATTTGAGCTTTCAATTAACTTTTTCGTACCTCGTCTTGCATTTTTTTGTGGCATATATATGATATTGAATACAAATTGATATCTTTTTGCTGTTCTTCAAGCTAATGAGATAATCTTGAATCAATGCAACAATTGAACTACTTATTTGGGAAAGCAAAGTAATATAGCTATGAAATGTTTGCATATTCTGAACAATTATATGTTCATTGCAGTTGATTTGATGAAGCCCGAAACAACTGTAATAATACGTAATGCAAAGATTGACATGTTCAAAGGCTCCATGAGACTTGCTGTGGATAAATGGGGACGCATTGAAGTTACAGAACCTGCAAGTTTCACTGTGAAAGAGGATAACAACTTGTCTCTGATCGAGTATGAGTTGGTGAATGTTGAAGAATGAATTGAATTTAATTAATGGTATGTGGTATGATTGTTCTTGTGACTTGTGGGTTTTTTGATATACAACTACAAAAGGTTTGGTTTAACCTTTTCGTGTTGATATCTTTATAACACGTATTAGAATTTTACCCTAATGTCATTTTAAGTGGTTTATCTTTTGAAATGATTACATTGGTTGATTCCAAGAAATTATGCTTGTTTGTAGTAAGTTTATTGAATGTGAAAGAAAAAAAAAGTGTAAGATTTGAGTGTTAATAGCAACTTATTAAAGATCACGTGTTTGTGATTCTTGCACTTTTCTAGTCGAAATGTTGAGGTCCTTTTGCCTAGCCTTGTTACATACGACTAAACTGGATATGACAAACTTTCTAGGGCTATTTAGCCTATTTTGGATGACATTTCTTTAAATAAAATGGTTATTATTTTATGTCATTTTGCATTTTTCAAAAAGCATACAACTACTTTTGTCAAATATTTCTAAACAAATAAAAGTTACAACTTCCAGCTTTGAGATTGCAACTTCCAGCTACCAACTTCCAGTCGACTGGGAGTTAGTTTTATAAAATATATTTTTTCTCTAGCTCAACAAAGTTTGTTTGTATATGGTGTTTATTCTCGTTGTCCAAGAAAAAAACATGGATCGTGTTTTGAGGGCCTAGTAGTTCAATTAAATATTTAATGTGCTCCCTACCTTAACAAGACATTTTTTGGAGTAGGTAGTTATAATGGTAGTAGAGGGGAACAATAAGGGATCCATGATTTTCATTCCGTACATATGGTATAATATAATAAATAAATTATTTATATATTAAAACACTGATAACAATTACCTATAGATATTTTCCATGTTTAACTACTTTAAACAAACCATGTATTAAACTATTTGATCTTATAATATACTTAGGTGTAAAACCCGTGTATTACACGGGTTGATCAAACAAAAGATTAAATAATAAAATATAAACGTTAAGTATTTTTTAAATAAAATTTAGAAATAATGAATGAAGAAACCTATTAATTATAATTACTATCATATTTAATCAACTATAATAAATGAAGATTCATTTTGACACGTGTCAACCTATAATGAGTTTTGACACTTGTCATTTTATTATATTTTTGAAATAAATAATATCTACATGTCAATTATTGGTTTTTTCAATTTTTAAATTAAAAGCCACATAATATCCACATGTGGGTATTATTTATTTCAAAAATATAATAAAATAACAAGTGTCAAAACTCATAAGAGGTTGACACGTGTCAAAATAAATCTTCATTTATTATAGTTGATTGATTTATTGACAAAAACTAAATACACACTTGGTAAAATTATATTAAAAAAAAAGCGAACATATTGGTCACAATTTTCATCATCCATTTTGCGTGTTTCATCATTATTTGATTTATTTGCATCTTATCATCTATACAAATCATACAACCAAGGGTTGAACTACATTTTCACACATTTGAATCCAAAACCTTATATGATCAAATATATTGACCAACGATGAAGAAACACAACTTCTTCATTCACTATCTTGAGTGGCTTTTACTTCTACTCATCTTCACTAAAATGTTCAACAAATTCGGAACACAAACCCCATGAGAATTTTCAATTTGATGATGATTAGATGGTACCTTGGAGCTTTGGGATCTTTGTTGTGGTGGTATGCATGATGCTCTTGTAAAGTATAAGGTTCTATTGTCTCGTGGTTTGATTCCTATTAATCGACCTAGAGACACACTGTTGTCTTGAAAGAACGACACCGTTGACTGCAAAAGGCAGAAACACTCATATACAGTTTACCAGATTATAAGAACAGAACAGAAGAATACAAGTAACAAAATGTGAATACCTCGGTGTCTAAGTTGGATGATGAAAATGAAGAAAAGCTTGAACATGGACCATGAAAAGTGCTCGGTTCTCTTGCATCCACAACACCTTCAACACTAAGTCTCATGTTCATACTTCCAAGCCCCAAAGGCCATCCATTTGGCACCTCATGACCCTACAATGAAAGGTTTCCCAAATTTCTTTAAGATCTTCATCATTTTGGGAACAAATTTTTGTGAACTATCCATAATTTTAGTACAGTTTTATTTGAATCTCAAAACAGTGTAAGTTCAACGTGTATACAGTTAAATTCGTAACAACTGGAGAAAATCGTTCATGAATCTTGGCTCTTAAAAAGACTTCAATCTACTGATTTAATTCACATAATCAACAGATAAATTACTCCAATCACTTGTTTCAAAATCAAGATCATCAAGAAAAGAAACTCAGATTGGCGTTCCGTTTTTTCCTCAATACCACACGCAGACACAGAAAGTGTTCATATGAGTAAGTGAAATGAATCTACGATCCAATAAACCAGTGGAAGAAAAAAAAAACTCATAATTGATCACAAACCATAAGAAACAAACCACAAAATTGAACGACAAACTTATTAGTTTCGTATCATAATCAAGACTGATAGTTAATACATTAGAGAGTAGAATTGATGAATTAAAAGATGGGTTACCTGGATAATCATTAAGGAATGCTCGAAGAGATTAAAGAACGTGAAGAAGAATAATACTGAATATGAGGTAAAGCTTGTAATTATTCTTCTGGAAATGAATCTGACATGTGAAGAACACGAGTGATGACTAAGAAGGAGTCGTCTAACCAAAATTTCTGCAATTAAAAACAAGCTTGACAAGTGGCTGTTTCCATAGGCCCCATCTCTCTCTCTCTCTCCTCTCTCTCTCTCTCTCTCCTCTCTCTCTCTCTCTCTCTCTCTCTCTCTCTCTCTCTCTCTCTCTCTCTCTCTCTCTCTCTCTCTCTCTCTCTCTCTCTCTCTCTCTCTCTCTCTCTCTCTTTTATATATATTATATATATATATATATATATATATATATATATATATGTGTGTGTGTGTGTGTGGAGGGACGGAGAGAAAGAAAGTGACACTGTTAGACAAATTGGTAGAGAGAATTTATCAATGAATATTAAAGGATGTCATGCAAAACATGAGCAATTAAATATATGTTACCAAGAATTTTTATGATGCATTGATATAAGTTTATTAGTTTAATATGCCATGTTAAAAATAATTGAAGCTATAAAATACTAAAAAGTTGTATACATTAAAGAATAATATCATGTGTGCTATAATATTTATTAGGGTGAATTTTCGGATTAACCAATTTAGTTAAATAAAATTCTCTACTCAATCAAACCCGTTTATGTAAAAAGTTGATATATGTCACTTAATTAAATGGATTGAATTGAGCTCATTTGTCTTTCTTGGAAATATGACTATAATTATTTTTTCGTTTTGTTTACATTTGAGTAACTGTTTTTATTTAATATTTTTTATACACATGTAGATAACGAACTTGTTGGAAGTGTTAATATATGACCATTATAATAGTCATATGTGAACACTTCCAACAAGTACGTTACCTAGATTTGTACAAAAAAAGTTACCCAAATGTAAACAAAAGGAAAAGGTAATTACCATGATAATTCAATTTTCCTTCTTTTTTATTTTACCTTTTAATTTTGATTTCGTATAAAATTTAATAAATGATAAATGTTTTAAAAACCACACCATTTTGGCAATTTTTTTTAAATACACTACTTTGGTAAAAAAAAATCTCGTTTTTATAGGGAAAAAACACATCGTCATTTTGTGAAATTTTACTGTTTAAGATATTAAATATAAAATTTAAAATTTACTAAAGACTGAAAGTACTAGAGATAGAGAACAATAAGATGAAGAAGAACATCATCTTCAATGAAGTTTGCTACATGTATTAATATCTACATCGATAGCTTTGCTCATGTCTCATATATATATATATATATATATATATATATATATATATATATATATATAGAGAGAGAGAGAGAGAGCTAATTTGATAATTATGCTACAAAAAATGGCTCCAAATATGTCGGTGGCGGTCGGACCTCGAGTTCCAGATAGGGGACTTGGTGCTTCTGAAGGTGTCGCCTTGGAAATGTGTCATCCGATTTCGGAAGCGGGGCAAGTTGGGCCCCTGATTTATTGGTCCCTTCAGTATTACCACTCGGGTGGGCAGGGTTGCATACCGGCTGGATTTGCCTGATAAGCTTACTCAAATCCACAACACCTTCCATGTCTCTCAGTTGCGGAAGTGTGTAGCCAATGAATCGGCAGTGATTCTTTTGGATGATATTCAGGTCGATGAGCGCCTGAACTATGCGTAGAGATCGGTTGCGATTCTTGACAGGAAGACCAAGGCTCTGCGCAACAAAGAAGTGAACCTAGTAAAGGTGCAATGGCAGCACCGGAAAGGCTCAGAATGGACATGAGAGCCTGATGATGAGATGAGGGAGCACACCCGGACTTGTTTGTAGCGGCGGACTTCGAGGACGAAGTCTGATTCAAGTGGGAGAGATTTGTAACACCAGTGTTCTAGGTATGTTCATTTGTGGCTCATTCTTTAAAAAGTTTGAAAATATGGTCCCTACGATGGGCGTACGAGACAGGTATGTCGGGTGTAGGCGTGTAACGGAGGATCGCGAACCCCTTGTGTATGTTGGGCGTACGTATAGGTACGTTGGGCATACGGATTTAGAGGAAAAACCCTAATATTTAGGGTTTGGACCCTATTTAAAGATCATTATGGCATCCCACCCTTTCTTAACTGTAGCCTCCATCTCTCTTAGCCTCCATTTCGAAACCCTAAGTGTGTGTGTATGTGTGTGTTTTGAAGCTTTGGAGTGTCATTTTGGTGTTCTTGGTGATGAAGGAAGACTCTTGGAGTTATGGTGTATCACTCAAGCCTTTGGATCCAACAATTCCTCATCCTTGTGCATCTTCTGGGGGTATAAAGCTCCAACCTTGATGCATATTTCTTTAGATCTCGCTATATAGTGAGATTTGTTCATTATTGGTCCCATAGCCTTGGATCTTGTGAGTTTGAGCAACTCCAGACCTAATGAGGAGAGTTTCCTTTCATTTTGATCATGGTGGTTCATAAAAATGGGATCTTGGTCTTTCCCAATCATGCATGTTGGATCTATTAAGCCTTTACGTCATTAATAAGACTTAGAGTTGGATTTTGGACTTCTTGTAGCCATGCAAAGGCATAAATTTGCAACTTTATGACTCTAGACGTTCATTAAACTTGGATCTGAAGTTTGGATGTAAATTCTTAAGGCTTTAAGACCTTAATAAAGTTTTTGGAGCCGGTTGCATACGCTAGGCGTAACCCAGGGAACGCTGGGCGTACCAGGTTGCGACCCCGTAAGCCTTTCGAGGACAAGCTGTATGTTGGGCGTAGCTCGGTGTACGTTGGGCGTACGCTCAGGAAGCCTTTTGGGCCGTTCTGAGACTTTAGGTCACTAAGGAGTTTTTGGGCTTGGTTGGTTGGGCCATGTGTGGAGGGGCAAAAATGGTTTTTTTCCCTTGGTAGGATAAATTATGTTTTGGACCATTATTTGTTGGTTAAACCCCAATTATTAATTAGGGTTATTATTGGGCCATGATTAGTGTGAGGAGGCGTGTTAGCAGCAGCTCGAGTGTGCGATACAGTTATCTTCCGTCAGAGGTGAGTCTCCTCACTGTATCCATGGATCGAATGATCGTTTTGATTTTATAAAAACATTGATTTATTATCTACCAGTTTTTATAACAATAGTAACATATTGTTTGATAAAAACTAGTTATTATAAACAATAACATAAATGTTTTTGTGATCAAACCATTTACATTTATTTGATGATTATTAACAAAATAAATGTCGTATGAATTATAAACCATATTACGAATGATAAAACCATGTCAATTATATAGTTTATAAACTGCTACATAGTCTTTGTATTCTTATAATCAATGATTAAACATCTATTTAGGCTTATTAGTATATTTGGAATTGTTGGTTTCACGTTGGTTGAAACATTGAAAATGTTATAAAAGTAGTCATTATGCTGCCCAAATTTTATCACAATAAATAATAAAATTTGGTAAAATGTTAAGTCTTGTGATTCCATAATACCAAAAGACTTCAATCAAAGATGATTCTAAAACAAAAAAATTATAAGCATCCAATAATCTTATAAAAGGAAAGTTTAGGATTAGGATGCCTAGACACATTGTTAGGATCCACACACGGGTTTCCTATATGAGTTATGTTCACTTCTAAAAGCCATATGAGCTAGGATAATTTCCTAAGCTGTATGAGTTATGTTGTTGTCTACATTGAGACTATATGTCTTAGTAAAAGTCCTCTATGTTATAACCGTTAATCCATATGGAACATGGAATGTCAGGTATAGATCTACAGTACTAATTTATAGGAGTAGACATCCCGTCAACGGTCACTACCTACAACCATCATCTGAAGAGTCGAAAACAGGCGTTGACATTTCTACACTACTTACTTCACGATGCAGATAAAGCGTTGATGTAGAACTTTCAGCACACCCCATTTTGGTGTTGGTGTAGAGGCTTTGAGTCGCAGTTCGGTTATGAGCTCATTATAAATCTCGGATTCATTTCATGACCGTATAGAATTGAAATAGGATTTAGATGGAGTTTTTGTTCACTTATACTAGTTGAAAGTGACTGTATGCAGTGAGATAGTTTGTGACTCAAAATGATAAGTGTCATTACCAAAAATTAAGTCATATAACACTTAATTAACCTCATGACACGACTGAATAAGGTTTTTTAACTTACATTTAATAAGTTATTTATATAAAACCCTTCATTTTTGCATGAAAATACAATGTTTGCGTAGAAGGAGTTTGTCTCACTGATTTATATCGTTTTCCAAATTAAGTAAAGTGATACTTAATAACTAATGTGACATGAAAACACACCGTTTATATGGGAGGAGTTACCCCACTGATTTGGTGTCGGTTTCTAAATTAAGTAAAATAACACTTACTTAGAAATGGTCAAATTTATATAAGTTTTAATTACTTATATATTTGTCAATTTTTTATACTTTTGGATTTGAACAAGAAATGTTTCTATATGAGTCCAAAAATACTTTTATAACTCATCTATTTTTATACTTTTGATAGAAAAATACTGATTTACAAAATCTGATCAACCAAATAATTTTTATAAAACACTTTTCATTATAAAAGTTACTTTGTGTCAAAACGTGTAAAACTCACCAACAATATTTTGTTGACGTGTCTTAATGCATGTATTCTTAGGTTTATTAATAGGTCGGAATAGTTTGCATAGAAAACTTTCCATTATTGTATCATAGCTTTGTATACGTCAAATTGTTAGGCGTGTGTCGCGATTTAGCAATAGTCATCGACAATGTAATTTCTATTTTTTTAATAATAGAAGATTATATGTTTGTACTGTTCAATATTTATTCAATAAATGTGATCACTGATTTATGTCACGCACCTCGGCGTTTCCGCCGACGGCAGGGGGTGTGACAGATTGGTATCAAAGCTATTGGCTATAGAGGACTAGTACTTTCTTAGAAAATCATGAATATAGCCTAGGACTTACTCTCTTAGGGTAGGTATATTCTTACCATACAAATATAGTGTTATATATTAACTCGAACCCTCGAATACTAATACAATGCAAGGTTTTAGGTCAAACACCTTAGCTAATTTAGTTGTACATGGGCTGAACCACAACTAGACATAGACTGGTCACCTATGTTTAATTATGGTCAGACCGATGCACAATCGAGCTTGGATTCG